CAGAGGGATGATAAATGTAATGTGTGTCAGGGAAGAGGCCCAATAAAGAGGATGGCACACATTCATATGCATGTGTTTGTGTGCTCAGCTTGATTGGAATGTTGTGCCGGAGGAAGAACAAAGGACTTAAGGAGGAACAAAGCACTTGAATTTAAAGGAAGGAAGGCAAGTGGCAGGGTGGCAGTGGGAAGGGGGTGATGGGAAGAACATGGATGGTTGTAAGAAGTGTGGGAGATCTTACACACAATGAGCCCCCTGGTGCCATAGCCATTCCTAACTTCAGCTCCCTTTAACACACACACACACACACACACTCAAATCACACGTAGCCCCATTGGTTGCACGTTAAGACGGCAACAGCTGAGCTCCCTGGTTTTTTTCTCCAAGACACACATGCGCACACACTCGCAAACTTGCTACACCAGAAACACTTGTCACACAAACAGGAACTTCTGTCACCTAGTTTACAGTTTACATCTCACTTTGACCTCAACTGGTGATCTAGCTGGGAGGCCTACACTAGTGTGTTCCCACTTCCCAGTGTGGGAGAGTACACGTGCGCATCTATAAAATCTCTCATGCATCTGGCAAATTCCATCCTTTTTATGCACATTTTGGGATATTGCATTAAAAAAAAAAACCGTTGGATGGAAATTAATTTAAAAACTTCACTCAATTGAGGTGGATAATCTTTTTATCCGATAAAAAGACATGCGAATATGGAAGCACATTTACTGTATACATTACTCGGTGTGTAACAAAAAACTTGTGACTGCCTCAATAGAGGTTTGATAACTGGACTAACCAGCAGACCAATTTCCTCGTACAGCATATCAAATATTGGTTTGGTGGTTCTAAAATGCATGCATGAGCTGTGTATAATTACCTACCAGAACTGTCTCACACAGTGTTTGAGTTCCCAAACATCAGCCATCCACCTCTGAAAGCAAGATATCATGACAGCATTTTTCATGACAATTTTGTTCTCTTGAACACGTGATGAAACGGTGCTTTATTTAGCAAAAACTTGGGTGCTGTATCAATGTGGGAGTGTGACGAGATTTTTGCAATTCTGGAAAGAAGTACAGACTATAATAGATTAAATGACTAATGTCTTTATCTCTTGAACCAAAAATCTGATGTGTATTTACAAGCAAAACATCTTATTCCTCTTTACTAGGCAAAAAAACAGCAAATATCGGGAGACTGCTTAGAGAAATGGCAACTAGCATGTAATTGGAGAGATTAACATACATAACATTATTAAAGTTAGATAAAAGGCTTTTAAAGACACTGGGAATCCCTTTGTGACATTTTTGAAAAATTTGTACATGTATCCCACATGATAAGATAATTGATGACAGTGTATTTTTAGTAGGCTATCACTGAAATACTATAATCATTTTAATTTTAGTTAAAGTTTACATTAACAGGAACATGCATCATGGTGTCATGTCATATGACAAAATGTAGTAGGCTATTCTACTGTTAAAAAATGTGAAAAAGTGTATAATTGAACGGACTCTATAGACCTTATTCACAGCAGCACCATCTTTCTTCGTGTTTTTAGATTGTTCTGCTGATGAAACGCTGCAAAAATATCTTTCCAGGGAATTTCAGTAGACAAAAAACTGCAGACAACATGAGCAACAAGGGATCTATCACTCACACAGCCTTGCTTAAAGGTGCTCTGCCTCTATGTAACTTTTAGCGGCCTCTAGTGGTGATGTTTCATATTGCAACCAAATTTTACAAGAGCGCTCGTGCTCGAACTCATAGACAATACCGTCTATTACGCAAATATCTCGGCGAATACTAGACGGATTCGGCGAGCACCGAGCTCGTTGGGACCATCTAGTCGAGCTGAAAAGAACCATATAAGTTCCATAGTTTTTGGTGGTGTTTCCGCGGAGATATTAGCAGAAAACCATCGGGCGCGCTGCAAAATTGCAGACGCCGGTGACGTCACGATCTCAGAAGAAAATCGCTCGTATCTCTGGAACGCAAAGACCCAGAGAGCTCAAATTCGGGGGAGGAGGTCCCAGGGGAACCCTTGCCCGAACGCTAGAGTGGCAGGCCTCGGGGATGCCCCCTACCGGATCGCCGTTCGCTGGGACCCCCGTTTTCGAACGGCTATAACTGGGGGAGCCGGGCGAGTTGGACCTCGGGGGTGGGCTCGTTTGAAAGGCCCCGTCCAGCACTACGAACGATTAGAGTCTTGGGAATATTGATCAAAGATTGACCGAGATATAAGCCGAAAAACGTGCGCCTTTAACAGGACGTAACTCCCTGACCGTCTACAATAGACTGTATATAAGGAGAGAGGCTCAGGAGCGCGCATGCACGTCACATCCGTTGGATTTCGCGGTAAATCCGACCCGGAGACTTCACATAGAAATAGGAATACTGGCCTTCAGAGGTAATAGCAAAACTCGACAAGTGGATCATTTTAATGTGTGATTACAACCAGGGTTCGAATTACAAAGTGGCTTTCGGGGGAGCCCTATTTTCCGATCCTCCCTGACTTTAACGCTTTTGGTGCATGTTCGGGCATTTAAAACAATAGGTTTACAGTAAACCTATTGTTTACTTAGTAAACCGTTTACTTCAAAATGCAAGCGTCAGTCAGTGTTGTCAGTGTTAGGGCAAACAGCTCTGTCCACGGTTCTGAATCAACCGAGCTTAGGCCTACATCATGCAAATCATGATAAAAACAGAATAACTCACATACCAGCGGTGGTTTCTGGCGCCCAAGTCTCGCTATCCTCGGTGCTGGTGCTGTCACTAGCAGCAACTTTTAGCGGCGGCGGCGGTAACACCGACAGCTAGTTGTAGCTGGTGCGCTGTCATCACTCCTCTTCGTTTGTTTTGTAAATCCAAATTGACTGAGGTTTGGCTGCTTTCTTTTTGACATTCTTATTAGTATCCACAGAGTGTTCCCAAAAAAACGAATAAAGTATGTTTTGAACTTGAAGCTAAGCTAACATTCAAATACCAACTCAGTGAGAAGTTCAAGCGGTGACGTAAACGTAGTAATTTCAGTGCAGCGCCGCCACGCATGGATGGTCACAGCAGGAGACACAGCATTGCATTTATTAGTGGAGACAGATGTTCGGAAATATTAATGTAATGAGCGAATAAACACTGACACATTTTTAATATCATCATTTATTTCAGGAACCTTAATGTACAGAAAATCAAAATCTATATGCGACACAAAAAATGGACAGTGTTTGAGAGCTCCCCCTAAATGTCTCAAAGTAGGCTTTCAGGGGAGCCCAGGTCCTTTTCAGGGGAGCCGAGCTCCCCTTAGCTCCCCCGTAATTCGAACACTGATTACAACCCCTTCACACACAGGCAATAAAAAAAGGATTCATTTCTGTAGAAAAGTTACATAGAGCACCTTTAAATTCATACCTGTCATGGCGCTGCTCTGAATAAGGTCTATGCACAATCACTTCCGCATTAGATTGTTAGAAAATTGAGCCCAAAATTAAATATTGCAGACAAAGCCAAACTGACACAATTCACCTTTACACTAAGGCATTTAAAGCATCTGAAATGTCTAAAACGTTTTAATACAATAAAAGAAAATGTTTGTTTACCGATCAACGTTATAAAAAGTGTTTTCTCCTACGTCCTACCACATTTTGCTGGGGGAGAATATACCAGAATCTCATCTCGCATAGCACTGAGAGACTTAAATGGAAATACGAAGGCAGTCATTATGTTTTTTTTTTTTAAGAAAGCAGGCAGTATATGGTGCACCGGCGTAGTATTTAGTCAGCTTATTCCCAACAATACTGTTTTCAAACAGCTTTCCTAAACACTCCCCCATCTGCCATTGGTTGAATACCCCTACCCTAAACTCATGTGCTGTGTCGAGCTGGTAGGGATCATCAAGGGGTCAAAGTTTGACTGGTTAACATAGCCTCATTAGCCTCTGCTAGTAGGCTAGATGGTAGATGTCGACTCTACACCATCTGGCTTCAAAGAACAGCTTTCTCCTTGGCCGGGCATCCACAAATATCGGTCTATTCTGACAAAATACGTGTGTTTTTTACACGAATATATAAATAGCAAGTCATTATAGAATAATACGTTTGACTGATTCATTAATGTCACAGAAAAAAAAAGAAAAGAAAAAAACGGGTTTACTTTAAGTTTCGCTGAATCAGGGGATGACTTTACATGTTTCCTGAGGTGAATGGTTCTTGTTTGAATACTTTTTGCCTAAGACTCTTTCTCTCACTACAGAAAAAAAGGGAATCTGCAAAAGCGCAAAACACACACATGTACACAAAGATAAGAATAGTATCTTCAAGATCATACTGATGAAACTCATTACTCAATAACGTTATATTGTGAAGCAAGTGTCGTCGGACTCCTAAGTTATATCTTCAGGTTTGAGATGGTTTTGAAAAACCTTTGATATATCTTTTAATTACCTGTAGCATTTTATTAAAAAATCATTTTATTTATAATAATTTGACAACGGCTATCTGCCTCGTTTAAAATCATTCAGCATGCACGCACCTAGCAAATATCGCCCTCCTTTGGGCAACTCACCGACCTGCATTACACTAACAGTGGATCTACATTTTCGATGCTAAATTTCGGAAAATTAATAATAAAATAAAATAAAACTATAATAATAAAAACAATTCCTCAGCCTCAACACGGATATGTTTCCAATGTGCTGACAACATGTAATGTTACAGTCAAATTCGCTGATAACCGGTACAGTCAAAGAATGCCATTGATTTAATTGTTTGTTTCACAGTGACAGCACACGCTCATTTTTAACTCTACCCTCTCAGTATACAACCTGTTATTATTATATTTACACTTATAGTTTAGAATCATTTTTGTACTAGCTCATCAAGCAATCAAAGGTTAACAAGTCCGAAGTCCCCGTGTTATCGTTCGTTCAGCGTATTTTCTTTCTTTTTTTTAACTCGAATGTTACGTACTCAAACCCCAGGATTACCCAACGTCACGATCACGTGACCATCTACTGGAAACGGTAGTTGTTTGTAGTATGTCACTATCCGACTGTCCACGCCGCGCGAACTGTCACCATTTGTCCAGAGGTGAACCAGGTATGTCCACTGTCTCTCCCTGTCAAATCCATCTTTGTCCTAATGCATGTGCCACTATGGCTGGAGATATCATATGTACACTGAAATTTAAGATATTGTCCTTTTTTGTATGTCTTAAGCCTGTGTTAGTTAGTTAGCTAGTAGTATAGCAGGTGCTGTCAGGACCTGTTCATGTAACTTAATTTGTGATGATAGTATACTCACGTCCGCCTCTAGAAGTACACTGACTAGTTTATTCTCATATTTAAAAACATAATAAGCGTACTGTCATCAGAAACATAAAAATATATCAATATATGGTCACGTTTAATTTGGATCAATATTATTAAAATAGTATGAATAATACATTTTAATAGATTAAAATTGTTTTGATGTCCAAATCATATGGTATATCTTATTATACTGGATATTAAACTTTTTCCAGTGTCAATATCACTTTCTATCCTGTTAGTCTTTGGTAATATCTCTTAATAAAAGACATTTCCTTAATGAGGGTATCTTCCAGAACATGACATTGTTTTAATGGGAAAACTATGTTCTTGTCACTGTGTAAATAATGAGTTATAATGTAATAGTGTACTGTGCTTGAATTGACCTAAGCATATCATGACAGGTTTATGTTCAACTGAATTACAACAGTTCTGTGCAGCAGCTGTTTATTGAACTCTTCTGCATCCTGTTATGCTCATTTGATAGTTTAGAGATTGTTCCAATGAATTTTTTTGTATTTATTTTAAGGATAGATAACTCTATGTTTGACAATTTGCAACACCCAAATGCGCAAACAGTGCTTGCTCTGTCTGAACATTAGGGCTGCGTGTACTCTGTCGTCTTTGGCCTTCACACAAGCTCATCATGTGTTATCATGAAATCAGACTAATCCTGGTTGACTTGTTTTCTGTTAGATATGTCAAGATGATTCCAGCAATATCATTCTCAACTTTAACAATTTATTGTTACCATTTATATCAGTTCCTCTCTGTTTGGCCAAATTTTGTGACCTTTCCTTTCATTCAGGTTCTTTACCGTAAATGTAGTCTGTTCTGTTGGCTTAACCTTGATTTTGTGGGTGAACACTCACTGAGGGATTACATTTGCTCTCACTTATTATTCCCATTCAGTTCAGTTATGTCAGGAGATTATACAACCCTCCAACACACCTGGGCTTTATCATAGACCACTGGCCCTCATACTGTTATGTTTCATTACTATTACGGAAGAAGATCCACACACCTAATGAGCTTCCATTAACACTATTTTGAGTTGAGTGATTTTAAAATAAGAAAGATGAGTACATGAGTTAATTTCTTGTGTACATAAAGTTCATGTACTGTGGTGCATTCAAAGGCACAATGACTTGCAGACATGACTCGTTATAACTGATCTTAACGGTTTGTGTTTGTGTTGAGACATCAGTGATTATGTAATGTGATGCTTGATTTGTTGGGCCTGACATGCCATCAAATTATTAGTGGTGCTTGCCTATGGCAAAGCAACACTAGTGTTATTGTGCATACTTATTATTCTTATTCTTCTTATTAGTGGTGCTTGCCTATGGCGAAGCAACACTATTGTTATCTCACATACTTATTAGTGGTGCTTGCCTATGGCAAAGCAACACTAGTGTTATTGTGCATACTTATTATTAGTGGTGCTTGCCTATGGCGAAGCAACACTATTGTTATCTCACATACTTATTATTCTTATTATTATTATTCTTCTGGCCACTTTTTGACGCGCTACTCCTCCCGCAGTTTTTGTCACAGACCCATGAATGAGGTGTCAAAACGTGCGGCCTGTTCGGGAATGGTGTGCTATGACTTTTCTAAGAGATCGGGGGTACGATGGTCGCCCCAGGGGCGAAAAACGGCCCAAAAAAATCCCATAGACTTAACATTGCGAAAAACTTTGACGAGTCGTAGCTCGGAACGAGGATGTCGCAGAAATGTGTAATTTACCACATTTGAAGAGGCTGACAGGCTCTGTAAGAACATACCACACAATGGGGTAAAAGTTGCACCCCTGGGGTGCAGGAGCTGCCCAAAGTTTCCCCATTGACTTACTATGGTGTAGGACGGCCCATGAAATGGGCCGTCCTACACCATAGAAACCGCTTTTATATTGAACATAACTCTGGATCACAGTGTCATAGAGACAAGGGGGCGGGCTCATTTTACTCAGACAACCAATCAGTCTCTCAGGATCATTGTGAAGCTATCAAGCCACGCCCTAGCAACCATTTAGAGCACCTTAGCAACAACTCCCATAGACTTCCATTGAAAGAGATCGAAGGGATATCTCTGGACTGAATTGTCATAGAAACATGAGGGTGGTCTCGTTTGACTCGGGCCAGCAAACAGCCAATCATGAATCACCTCAACACTTGCTAGCCACGCCCTAGCAACCATTGTCGAGCACCTTAGCAACCAAAATCCAAAGAGGAATATCGTCCATTCTGAATGTCACAGAGGCATGGGAGTTGGTTTATATCTTTCATAGTGACAAGCAGCCTTTGGAGTTTCATGATTGGCAGCTGCCAAGCCACTCCCTAGCAACCAAACAGAGTACCCTAGCAACCATTTTGCAAAACCAATATCTCTGCATCAGAACATCGTATAGAGATGGGGGTTGGTTTATACATTCACATTGACTTTGGAGCTTCATGATTGGCAGCTGCCAAGCCACTCCCTAGCAACCAAACAGAGTACCCTAGCAACCGTTTTGCAAGACCAATATCTCTGCATCAGAACATCGTATAGAGATGGGGGTTGGCTCTTTTGACTCATGCTAGCAAACAGGACTTGCTACATGCTACACATGCAGTGAATAGCTACATGCTAATATTGATTAGCTAAGTGCTAAATCATGCCAATAAAATGCTACAAACTCAACAGTAACCATCTTTGACAACTACCAACCACCTAGTAACACCATAGCAACCACCCAAATTACCCTAGCAACACCCTAGCAACCACCCAGAACACCCTAGCAACTGCCTAGCAACGCCCTAGCAACCACCCAGAACACCCTAGCAACCGCCTTGCAACCACCCAGGATACCCTAGCAACCACCTAGCAATGCCCTAGCAACAACCCAGATTACCCTAGCAACCGCCTAGCAACGCCCTAGCAACCGCCTAGCAACCACCCAGAACACCCTAGCAACTGCCTAGCAACCACCCAGAACACCCTAGCAACCGCCTAGCAACCGCCCAGGATACCCTAGCAACTGCCTAGCAACGCCCTAGCAACCACCCTCGAACACCATAGCAACGGCCTAGCAACACCCTAGCAACCACTCAGAACACCCTAGCAACCACCTAGCAACACCCTAGCAACCACTCAGAACACCCTAGCAACCACCTAGCAACACCCTAGCAACCACCCAGAACACCCTAGCAACCACCTAGCAACACCCTAGCAACCACCCAGAATACCCTAGCAACCACCTAGCAACACCCTAGCAACCACTCAGAACACCCTAACAACCACCTAGCAACACCCTAGCAACCACCCAGAACACCCTAGCAACCGCCTAGCAACACCCTAGCAACCACCCAAAACACCCTAGCAACCACCTAGCAACACCCTAGCAACACCCTAGCAACCACCCAGAACACCCTAGAAACCGCCTAGCAACCACCCAAAACACCTTAGCAACCACCCAGAATACCCTAGCAACCGCATAGCAACACCATAGCAACCACCCAGAACACCCTAGCAACTGCCTTGCATCATCATAGCAAAATCCAAGAACACCCTAGCAACCGAGCGGCGAGTTTTGCCACTGCAAGCACCACTTCACATTTTCTTCTGGAAATGTACATTCTAGTTCTTCTTCTTATTATTCTTATTCTTCCGGCCACTTTTTGACGCGCTACTCCTCCCGCAGTTTTTGTCACAGACCCACGAATGAGGCGTCAAAACGTGCGGCCTGTTCGGGAATGGTGTGCTATGACTTTTATAAGGGATCGGGGGTACGATGTTCGCCCCAGGGGCGAAAAACCGGCCGAAAAATCCCATAGACTTAACATTGCGTCAAACTTTGACGAGTCGTAGCTCGGAACGAGGATTTCGCAGAAACGTGAAATTTACCACATTTGAAGAGGCTGACAGGCTCTGTAAGAACATACCACACAATGGGGTAAAAGTTGCACCCCTGAGGGGCAGGAGGGGCCCAAAGTTGCCCCATTGACTTACTATGGTGTAGGACGGCCCATGAAATGGGCCGTCCTACACCATAGAAACCGCTTTTATATTGAACATAACTCTGGATCACAGTGTCGTAGAGACAAAGGGGCGGGCTCATTTTACTCAGACGGCCAATCAGTCTCTCAGGATCATTGTGAAGCTATCTAGCCACGCCCTAGCAACCATTTAGAGCTCCTTAGCAACAAGTTCCATAGACTTCCATTGAAACAGATCAAAGGGATATCTCAGGATATAAGTGTCATAGAAACATGAGGGTGGGCTCGTTTCACTCGGGCCATCAAACAGCCAATCCTGAATCACCTCAACACTTACTGGCCACGCCTTAGCAACCATTGTCGAGCACCTTAGCAACCAAAATCCAAACAGGGATATCTTCCATTCTGAATGTCACAGAGGCATGGGAGTTGGTTTATATCATTTATACTGACAAGCAGCCTTTGGAGTTTCATGATTGGCAGCTGCCAAGCCACTCCCTAGCAACCAAACAGAGTACCCTAGCAACCATTTTGCAAGACCTATATCTCTGCATCAAAACATCGTATAGAGATGGGGGTTGGTTTATACATTCACATTCACTTTGGAGCTTCATGATTGGCAGCTGCCAAGCCACTCCCTAGCAACCAAACAGAGTACCCTAGCAACCGTTTTGCAAGACCTATATCTCTGCATCAGAACATCGTATAGAGATGGGGGTTGGCTCTTTTGACTCATGCTAGCAAACAGGACTTGCTACATGCTACACATGCTAGCAGTGAATAGCTACATGCTAATATTGATTAGCTAAGTGCT